AGAGATGATTTTTTTTTTTTTCATACAGATCCATTCATATGGAGAGTTCAATTAAGGTTGTTTGGCCAAGCTTAATTCTGACTTTTCATGTTTTCTGAACTTTGAGAATTTGATTTTGCCATCTTGTTAATGCTCTGTGTTTAGAGGTTTCCATAAATTAGTTTGTAATCTCCTACTTTTAAGGAATCAAAATATATAAAATGTATAAAATGTATAAAGCTCCCATCTATTGCATCCTGAGATAACCAGAGGTTCACCAGCATGGCTTTAACTTTCAAATGCAGTGCACAGACTAGTCGAGCTGCAGAGATTATGGTCATAACAGCAAATTGTAACACGTGATCCCCTCCTGGTTGGAACAGGTTGACAGATATTTGTCAGCAGCAGTGAGCTGTAGGACAAAAAGCTTATTTCTGGTGGAAACTACATTATAGTCATCTCGGGCTGGTTTCCAGTTGTCCATCTTCTCTTCTCTTTTGACCCATATTCTCTTTCCTGTTCCAGTCCTGTCAGTTCTCAATACCTGCTAATCAAGCTAGATATGTGTTTTGGTTGAATCATCTTAGCCTCAGCCCTATGTGACTGTAAAATAGCTCAGTCTCAGCATACTTATGCTCTCAGCTTATGACTATGCATGTTAGCACTTAAACCCACGCGCAGTAGGTTGCAGGTACTGGCTTTCAGCTGAGGGCCTAGTCTGGCTTGATCTATTCTTCAGCTCAACTTGCCAATGATAATCCCCTTCTCCCATTAATTGTCTTCTGTCTCAGGATCCTCTAAACATTCTCAGTGCTATCTGCAATCTGCATAGTAAATAATAAACAAGCTTCATAATAAACAATAGGTAAGACAGTATTAAAGGTGTATGTTTGGAAACTAATCTTTTCATATTTTTTTGGTGTCCAGAGCAAAATCAGAGATCTCAGAGAGTGGCAGCAGAGGCTTGTCTCACCAGTCCAAATGCTCTGAAGTCATTCCCACGGCTTGTAAAGCTGTGAGTATTTTGACAGGATTCAGTAATTACCTCTTCTTTTTAAAGTAGGAAACAGTAATAAGGCAGAAGGATGACCATGGTCCACCCTGTTTACTTTAAGGGATTACATTTACAAGAAGAATTTGTTAATTACATTTCCAGAACTTCTCTGAAAATACAAATTACATTCATTAAATGGACTCATTTCTGATTTCCTCTTCGTGATTCAGTGGACTTGATTATTGTAGGGAAATACCTAGTATACAAGGATTATATCACTATATATTTCTCTCTCTCTTTCTTTATTTTATTTTTTTTTTTTTTTAGTGTAAAGTCCTGGTGTGATAACAATTGGTGCATAGTTATATATAGTTTCTCTGGCTGTAGAATTTATTGAAAAGGTAATGCCCCTTAAATGACGTGTTGCTAAATTTTATCTGATGTGTTTGACACACAGTAAAAGCAAGATTGGAAAAAAACAAACAAACCTTATTGACTGTTAATACTAACTATTAACTTTAAAGTCTGGCTGTCATATAAATAGTATTAATTCTTTAATTTTTCCAGAGTTCTTCCTAGATGTTTGGAAGAAACAAACGTGTTCTTTCATTGCTCATGTGTAGAGTAACTTAGTTTCCTGAAGAATTGAGACTAACCTCAGAATTCTCAGCAGGAGAGTTCAGCATGGATGCAGAACTGAGGCTACTCTCAAGTGTGCAAAGTTTACTTGAGAGGAAACACTAGGATACAGGTCATTTACTTACAAATCTTCATTGATGATCTATTCTTAGGTACATTAGCCTGAATTTTAGCCTCCTCTACCTCTCCAGGACTAAAACCAGAATTTACACAGATGATAATATGTGTCCTATTCAAGTCTGCATGTGCAAATTCTGTACATATGTGTTTTGGTAGTGTGCAATTCATTCAAAACAGTAAGGTTTACTTACCTGAAATTCTTATACATTAAACAAAATGAGAACTTTAATTAATTTATTTATTTTTTCTTAAGAATATCCATCCTGAAAATGACACTTCTAAGAAGCTTGTTTTTAGGAACATGGCACAAGAGGCCTGAAAATTACCGCAATATAACTTTATATTACAATAAGAAAATGTGATCAGAAACAAACATCTAAGCTGTCTACACAGTATGGTGTAAGACACTTGAGACAGATTCACAGAGGTCTTTAAATAGCAAGAAACATCAGGTTTCTTGTCTGATCTGCAAGAATTAACATTGAAGAAGATAAAATTATATCTTCTTTTTTGCAATCAAACTTTCTTTCTTGTGAATAGATCTCCCAAAACATGAAATATAATATGATATTTTTGACCTGGAAATGGTAAGCACCAGCATTCTCACTTGTGTTAGTAAAGAACGGCTATGGTGTTCTCCAGTAAGGGTCATTCACATCTGATACAATTGCTGATGTGTGAATAGATAGGTGAGGCAGGTAACTATCAGGAGTCAATAGATGAAAACAGACCCCAGAGATGTGCTTTCACAGAGCAACCATTGGTACCTTGCTGACAACAGAATCAGCTAAAAAAACAGAGCTGGTATGCAATCACCACTCCTTGCAACATGTGGGTGTTTTTTTTGGTAGTTTGTTTGTTTGTTTGGTTTTTGTTTTGTTTGTTTGTTTTTCTCCTCAGCAGAGTAAGTAAAACAGTGGCAGCCACTAAGAAATTTTAGTCCTGCTGAGGGTCTGCAGGAAAGCCTGGAGAATGAGGAGCATGAAGTGTTTGTTTTTTTAGAACAGTGGCTCTTTCATCGTGGCAGGCTAACAGGCCTGGGAATACTCTATTCTGCTTCTGCTTGGTACAGAGTACATTTGAAGAGATAATAACAGCAAGCAACGTATCATAGCTTTATGATCACTCATCAGCTTTGGGGAGTCTGTGAAATGAAAGGCCCCCAGACTGGACAAGGTTGAAAGGTTGAGGCTACAACCAGACTTTTTGTTCCTGAGACGGCCAGAGCCATTACTGAACAACAGACAGCTGTGAATAGATGATGGGCATCTTTGCTTTGTTGCTGCTCCCTGGTTTAAGGATACTCTTGTCCTCCTTCTGCCCCTTCTATATTTGACAAGTTTGCTTTCAGCAGATATGACAGGCACTGGTGGGGGTCACTGGCCCAATTCCACATTTCCACACTTGGCTTGCTCCAAGTTCACTGGCCTGAACTAATGTCTCCAATGGAGGTCGTGCTACTGAACATTATGAGTTTTTATATATTAAACATGCATTAGTGGTTTTACCCTGCTTATCTGACAGCTGTAGAAAAAATAAAGAAAATTCAGTTTGAACATTAAAAAGCAGGGCTTAATTTATGTCCAGTACTTTTGTTCCCCACTTTCTTTTTCATTTGCCAATTGCAAAGCTCAAGGGAGATAATAAAATGGAGGAGCTGCTACTTTATACTTCCATGTCTTTCCAAGTGCCTGTGCCTTGCTGGGTGAGCTAAATCTAAAACTAGGAAAAGAGTTTTCAGATGGAAATTTGATTAAACAATACAATCATCTGTCTCACAATCTGTTTTTTTATAAGGAAAGTATTTTTTTTTTCCAGGGGGAATTTTCTTTCAGAGGGTTTTGTATGAAAAGGCAGACGTCATGAATACTGATGGGAAGGGCTCAGTGTTTTGTTATTTCTGTATAACAAAGACAAAATGCTTTAATAAAATCAGAAAACACAGATGTTACTTTAAGTATATTTTGCATCTTTTACTTTTTTTTCTTTCCTTTTTTTCTTTTTTTTTTTTTTTTTTTTTTAAGTTGGGAACAATCCCTCCCTCAGACTGACAATGGCAGCTCATGACAGACAAAATTAGCAGCTGGAAACTTAGCCAAAATTTGGGGCTTTTTAGTGTGTTGTTATTGTTTGGGATTTTCTTAGATGGTGAAAGGCATGCTTGAAGGAAGAGGCATGGATGAATTGAAAGTCCTTGTTTCTCAATATAGTTTGACTGGATTTCAGTTTTTATAAACAGTTTAAAATGGGAAAATGCACAGCCTTTTGTTGAGAAATTAGCCTATTGTGTTTTTCTCTTTTTTGTGTTTGTGTGTGAGGACTTTAGAGGGAAGCTAGTGTGGTTTGATAATATATATTTTTCATATTGTTTTCAAGATACCACATTTTCATTGGTTAAAAAAAAAGTTTCTGTATGTCATTGGAAAAGCAACATCTGTCAGTTTCTGTTTCTAGGGAGAAAGCTGGAGATACCTGGTCACTCAGACTCTTGACTAAATAGTGGATCAAAGTGAAATAATTTCCTTGCTGTTTGCTCAGTATTTTGAGGTGTCACGGTTGTTTTATATTCTGTGAATTTTACAGTAGCAAAGATGTCTACTAGAGCCTTTTCAGGGTACAGAAGAAATCTGCTGGCATGGTTAGATTTTGACAGTGTTGTCTTTATTTTCTTTGTGCATAGTGGTTTACACCCTGCCTGTTAAAATGGGCACCAGCAGGGTTGCCTTCAGCATGCCCAGAGCTGGGAGAGGGATCACGGCTGGGATTACTTCCAAGTCCACCTGGTTGTCCACTGGTCTAAGTTAGTGCAGCCTTTAGGAGCCCTGCTTTCCTCAGGGCCAGGTAACTCCGAGGCAGGAAGTCTCTTCAGAGTTTACACTTTGTATGATGTATAAATGCTGTGAACACAGTGGAGGAGTAAATCTGCAGCTCATACTTACCTTTCAATGAGACCTAGCATAGATGTATTCAGTGCTAGGCTTGAGTGAAAACATGTGATTGTGCTTTGTCTGCTTTTGACATATCTTGGACCTCTGTGTTAATGGGTCTGCAATTTACAACAGTAGCTACTCCAGAATCATCTCTAGATGCTTCACTCTTGAGGTACGTTTTCCTCAAAGAAGTCAAGGCAAAAGATATTTCTGTTCAAGAAACAATGGATTTAGAGGCAGGATTTTATAGGTTTCCTGTTTTTGTCACAGTTATGTTCTGTCTCCTTATAAACCTGTGGGTTTTATAATGAAACACATTTGCTCAGGATTGCTGAGTGGTCACTCATTGCCTGGCCAGCATATTTGTATATGGATCTTTTGGTTATGCTGTCTTTTGTTCTTTCAGGGTATAAGCTCTTCAGAGGAAGGATCATAGCTCTGGGTTCATACTACATATAAGAAATTGTGGGGAATACTGGGAAAATCCACCTGCCAACACTGGAAGATAATATTACAGTCAAAACAAAATGTTAGCATTTGGAGATTTGGCTTCCGTTCTTCAAATCAGCTGTGACTTTAAGCAACTCATTCAGGTAAACATATCCTTTAAATATATGCCAATGGAAGGGAACACCTTTTAATGATTATAGTTTCATTGCAGGATGGTGTTGACGCCTGCTGAATGCATATAAACATAATAAGTGATTTAGAAATGATGATGAAATGAGAAGGGATCACAGGGTAGAAGAGGAAATGCCACTGTCCTCATTCAATTTAAAAGGTAAAGTGATGTTATGTTTTTATGCTAAACTGCTTAGTACGTAAACATTCCTTTTCAAAGGAAGACCTGGTCTTCTTTGCAAAGAAGACCTGTTTACTGAGACAACATAATTTGACAAAAATAACTAGGTGGGATTTCAAAGAACGTTCTCTGAAATATTGCCTGATCTCTAGTGTGCAACTGCTGGAGAAACAGGGAGTTGCTGCCCATGGGAGAATATCCCAGGTTTTGTTCTATGAGGAAATTGGCTGCTTCAATGTGGTTTTGTCCTTCCAGATGCCTGTGAATTCCTCCAGGGTAGCCTGGAGCAGGACTACTCAAGTATTCTTCACCTCAACTCTTTTAACCAGTCTCCTAATCTCTCCAGGGCCTTTCCATTTCAATTACTTTTTTTTTTTTCTTTTTTTTCCTGGATATGTTTCATCACAATCACTTTGAGGGTTAGAAAATGTTGTATCCACTGGGTCTACCTGTACGTATTATATTTGGTAAAGAATCACTTTCATAAGGAAAAATGAATTTGAATTGACGTTGACTGGACATTTCCTTATTTCAGCACCATTTTCTTTTTGGACTTCATGGATATTTGTTGCCATACTAATCACGTAGTGTTACTTTGTAAGTAAATGTTATAATTGCCTCCCTATATTAGGGATTCTAATGCAGGAGAACACAGTTGATGGGAACTTGCTTTTTCAGGTTATTTTTTCAACTCCCAATATGCAGTAGAGTAGTATTAGAAACCTTGAACCTAACTGAAAATGAGGGAACTAATAAGCTGCTGTGTGGCTCATATCCATGGCTTGTGAGCTGAACTTTAGAAGAATGGCCTGTTTTTCTGGGTTTGTGAGAGGATTTGAGGACTTGGAGTTTGTTTGTCCAAATAATAATAATAAAAAGAAAATAGGGCGTGATGGAGGGGAGAGAAGGGGGCTCTGGAAATGCAAGATAAGGAAAATATTTCGCCTAGGAAAACATCGTGGATGCAGAAAGCAAAATACCAGGTAATGTGAGAAACTTAGTACTGACATTGCTGGCCTTTCTCACAGTTTGTTATAAGGACCATTCCCTATCATTTCCATTTGGAAGCATGACTTCACACTTGCAACTGCACAAGAGCAAATGGAGCAGAAGAGCCTAATTAAAGTTACAGGGACTTCTTTATGACAGAGCAAATGTTGGTTTAATGATACAGTTACAAGTCACAAAGAAATCAGAGCAGACGACCCAAGTTTTATACATTTTTGGCAAAGTAAGTGGGAAACTATGTGCTAAAGTGAGATCAACAGATGGGATGGAGGAAGAGGGGTACAGGAGGGGAAGAAAGCTATACACCCATGTACAAAACCAAAAAAAGCCCCCCAAGCCCTAATCAAACAAACAAAAAGATACACAAAACAAAGAGATAAACCTTGCAAGAAACAGATTTTTTAAACAAAGTTTGCCAAGTAAGCAATTTTTCTCTTTTTTTTTGAGGGCAGATGCAAAGTGTCTTTCAGTTCATTTTGGATAGAAGTAAGTGAACACATGCTGTGCTTTAATAAATCTTAGTGTAACCACAATGGGCAATCTCAGACCTGTGTTGGAGTTTGGTAATAGTTACCAAGCCTTTTTGCTTTCTTTCCTCTCTTTGTCTGCGTTGGGAAAATAAATAAATAAACCAGTGATATGCAGAACTTCAATTCTTCCTTCTTATACAAGGACACAAACAAGGCAGGTAGATGGCACTCGTAGCATCTAGACAGTACCTAGTATTTTCAAATCTGCTATTAAGACTGTGGGAGTTAGAACTTGACAGTTCAAAATTCTGCTATAACTGACCTTGTGCAAAAATTTTTAAGTTAACGCTTTCAAAATTCACTGTCCAGAGTGAATTCTTACCTTATCCTCTTAACTTTTCTTCAATTCATTCTCAGAAGTTCAGCTCTTAAATTTCCTTCTTAAATTCCTTTTTCAGCTGCTAAGTAATCCAGTTTTCATAAAAGCTAAGACACTGATGTAACCTTTCTGAATCTTGGTTTTCCCTTTTATGAAAAAGGATAATTCAGTCACACTTTATTTCACTTTTTCTGTATTTGGTCATTATTTTCTTTGCTTTGAAAAAGCACAGTGGTGTTTCATATTAAGTTTGCATAACCATGTAGTCCTGTCTCTGGCTTTGCTATCATCTCCTCTCATGCTCCCAGCATTGTGCTGTCTACTGCTTATTTAGATGATTTTTTAAGACAGAGATCAGGAGTGAAATCTCATCTCTGTCAAACCCAGTGGAAACAATTCCAGTCTTTAAAAGAATCAGGATTTTATCTAAAATCTTGTTATTTGCCTAGAACGCTCGGATAACTCATAATAATAATTGTTAACATGTATCATGCTCTGATCCCTGCCAAGCATTCTGGATAAAGACTTAATACATTTGGTAAATCTGGAGTTTGCTTAGTATCAGGCCATTACAACTATATCTAACAAGGACAGAGTGCTCAGGGGAATATTATCCTGACTGCAGATGTGTTGACATTGGTGAGCCTTATGACACATCACACGCTTATACAAAGCCCTGAAGTTTAGTCATATATACACTTGGCAAATTCTTGCCAGTCTATTTTTTTGGGCTGCCATAACTTTTTTGGAGAAGAGTTTTAGCACACAGAAGAGGTTTAATGTATAAATTTCACTCTGCTTCCAACAGTTGGATTCTGTACAAATCCTGTAATATATGAATCAAAGCTATCGAGAGCACAGACAGTGCAAACAGGGAATGTCTGACACATTAATCTTCCAAGTGCACTACTGTACTTACCAGAAAAGGCTTGCAAAATTCTTGCTATTGTACATGTACTTTGCAGCTTACTGAAGCTGACCTTGCAGGTAACTCCAAAAACTAGACAAGTTGCCTTGGTTGAAGGGAGGTTTTTTTTCTGAGCTACATGTATGGTTGTGGCTTAGCCTTTTCTTAATGCTATTTTTGTATGAGATCATAGTTTACTCTGTTCAAATACCTGTGAGAAATATTCAGACACCTCTTCTTTTGGAGCAGCTTAGAACAACCCTATTGATGCCAATGGTCACACTTGCTGGATGTGAATGCTTTGGTCTAGATGTAGACGTATAAAAAACATCTGCTATTCCATGCACTGTGGCACAGACAGGATACACTCCCAAATGGAACATATTTTTTCCACGCCCACAATCCTTTGAAAGCTCTGAAATTCATGTTTGGGGAAACTATTTGGTTAATATGCACTGTAAAGTTACCAGTGTGAACTTGTGTCATGGAAAGACTGATCTTGCACAGGTAACTGAACAGCCTTCATTTTGTTACTGTGAATTAAATTGTTCTTGAACCTTTGTTTCCACATGGTATACACAGCACCTAATCATATATGTGATGTCAGGTTTAAAATAAAGTGTTTCCTTGAATCAGGATAACATTAAGACCTTTATGAGAACTGAGAGGAAAAATTGCTTCTTAGTTTCTCCCTATTTTGAAGCTGACACAGTGCACCTATGATTTGTGGGTCTCTGAGTGTGAAGTGATCACACAAATGATGGTTGTGACAGAGGAAAAGTTAGGGTAAGAATAAGCTGAAGGCAGTTTGAGGACTAAAAAAGTTAAATATAATTTTAGGGTCCTGAATTCTTTCCATTCCTTTTTAGTTTGGAAAGGGGAATAATAATGAATTACATTTCGCTGCATGAAAAATACGTCTAGTACAGTCTTGGGTACCTACATTAGACCTTGTGTTTCCAAGCTGGCCTTTGCCCCTCATAAATTTCCTCTTGCAGTTGGTCACAAACAAGTTAGTTACTAATTTCTAGGCCAAAAATGGATTAATTGACTAGGACTTTAAATATTATTGTGTACTTTATGTAATAGATTGAGTGAAAATGAAATGAAATACTTCCATCTCTGGCCGCGATCTATTTGTGTTAAATGAAAAAACAATTGTATCTACCTATCTGGGCTACTTATAACCTGTAATCAATTTTCTATGTCTGGGCATTAACTGTTAAATTCAGGTAACTTCTTGTTTTGTTTTCATTGAAAGCATTAGTTCTTAGGCTATACTTCAGATATACTGACATAGAGGTCACATTGGCAACTGGTGGAGTTAAACGCAAATTTGATTTGCAATGGTAGAAAAATAGGAGCAGGTACAGTCTGTTTATCATAGCATTTGTTCAATATGGCACATGATCAAAATAATGATAAAGCATCAATCATGTATTTCACCAAATATGCTGAACAAACAAGGATTAAATGTGACTTTGAACTCTTCCCCACACATTATACTGAACCTCTTGCTTTCACTTCAAGACACCTCAAACACATGCCTATCAGTTTTCTCTCTGGAATGTGGTGGAAATACTCTACAGAAACCACTCACAAAGGTAGCTGTTGCATCAGCGGGGCGCTGTGCGTGAGCAAATTTACCAAAGGGGGCTACTTGTGAACTACTGACTCACTTAGAGCTCCTCCAGATGGTTGCACTGCACTCTGCGGTGAGCTAGGCATCATCTACGTTCTTCCTTCTGTTCCACTGTGTGCACTTGCCTAGGGTTTTGTCTGAACTGCTCTTGATTTTTCCACATCATACTATTCTTCCTTATCTGTTTCTTTGCTGTCCCTTGTTTGGGTCCTGGTTCTTTGTACATATATTTCCTGGAAATACACTTTCAGATCATAAAAATTCTTCTATATACCTCTCACTTTGTATTTATGTGTGTGTATGCATGTGTAAAATGCTGGATACCTTTGTGTGATATACAAAGTTTACTAGGATGAAATTAAGGTCTTATATATGTGATACGCTATTCACGATGCTCCAAACATTCCAGTTCAATTCCCCAGCTTGTTACTGTGTTCTGTTTTATCGCAGAGCATATTTTGAGAACAGCTCTTTGAGAACTGTTTGGTTCAAGAACTTTAAAACTTTTAAAGTAAAGAAATAGAATAAAAAAGAACTTTTATTCTTCTGTCACTCTACCTGCCAAACTAGTTGGTCTTTTACTATTACAAGCTATTACTGGTCTTGAAATGCATATCTCTTTTTTTTTTTTTTTTTTTTTTGGTATACCCCTCTTTCCAATGATGTGGAAGGCAGTGGATAGAGATTTGTCAGAGGAGGAAAGGAATTTAATCTCTTTCAGCTGTGAATTTAGAAACTGTGGTTCTTCAAGATATGTGGGCCTAGCAAGTTCAAATAAGCCTGGATTAGTATGTATTAACTCACTTCATACAGAAAAGATGGTAAAACACTCTAATGAAGTCATAATGACAAAGATCATGCAATCCTATGTGTGAATTTCACCGTCGTGCATGTAGAGAGTGTATGTATTGTGTGAAAGTAATTGTGGGTATGTTGTGTGTTGATGTGAATACTTTGATAAATATTTCGACTCTTGAAAGTGAAGGCACTTAAATATACAGTTACTACTGATTGAGTCAAATACCTGCTTCTCTTAGCAACAGTAAGAAAAAATAGAAACTAATGTGTAAAATCTGAGAATGTGGGGGAAGTCAAAGCAGAGTAATTCTTCTTGAGAGGAAACATTGAGGAGGGGAGATATGGATAGATAGGGAATGTGCAAAGTGATGATAAGAAAACATACAATATACACCTTAAGCTGTTGTTGTATCAAAAGACTTTGCTTTCTTAGGCTCTGGAAGAAAAATTACTGAATAAAATAAATTGGTCTGTGGCCTCTTGAACCTGCTAGAAACAAGCTTTGCTGTCAAGCACAACGCTAACTTCAGAGATCTTAGCTGAACAGTATTGTCACCCTCCCTCTTCTTTTTCTTCTTCTTCTTTTTTTTTTTTTTCCCCTGTTTTCTTGGGAAGCTATTTTGTCTATATTGATTCGTATCCATAAGGAGCAAATGGATGCAGAGTGTTGTCAGGGATTGGGGTAGTTCTGATAGTTATGATGAGGCATTACAGAAATAGTTATGAGCTCAGCATTACAGAAAGTCAACCAAGGCTCTGGGCAGCCAGCCTGGTTTGGGGCAGGCAAAATTCTGGTCCATTTCTGGACTGGTGTCTCGTAACATTCATCCCATGATGGTGTAAGTCGTATCTAATGTATCAGTTCTGGGCGTATATACCCATTTGCCATTTTGCATGCTTGTCTCTGCAGAGGTCTGGGCCTAATGAATGCCGAGGGAAATGTTCTAAATGCTGCTTTTCAGGTATCACTTCTTTAGAGAAGACAACCAATTTTGCTGTTTACTTTGTTGCCATGTCTCAGAACTTCCTTCTCCTCCTGACTGTGATCCTTACTGTGACCTGCAAATTGAGGTAATTGCAAATTCTCTACTGTCAGCGAAGAACAATAGCACTCTTTGATTTACATTTGTCCACATCTGAGCCTGGCACAAGCAGACACAACATCAGAGATTGATATTAAAAGCACTTGGCGTATGACAGTGCTGCATATAAGTTGTGGTTTTATTTACATGCTAACGTTAGTTATTTCTGGGAACACTCATATGTTTTGCCAGGTATTCTGGTACCTGGTAGCTAGCTATTCTGTCTTTTCACCAATTGTTAGCAGACTTCTGCCAAGTTGTTTCTCTTTTGTTATGAAAGAGATAAAAATAAAATGGGTTGGACCTTCATCAAGAAATGATTTTAGATACAGCTTGGCAACAGAAGTGACCCTCAGCAACATTTTCCATTGTACAGTCACTTTTTTTTTTCTCTTAACTGGGCAGTATGATAAATTGCTAATTTCAGGTCAGACAGCTTAAAGTGCAGAACAAAAACAATGACACCATGGAAAATAAAAAAGGTTGTCCAGCATATTGAGTTTAAATTTAAATCCGTCTCTCTCAGGAAGCAGACTTTAGCAACAAAGATGGAAACACCTCAGAGGAATATGTCTGAAGCCTAATGAGCAGGAATATCTTTCAAATTCACCAAGAAAAGCGGGATCCTTTCTTCTGAAAAATGGATGAACAAAAACCTAATCTCTCCCCTTTTATATAGCAATAATTCTGCAGTGTCTGATTAAGAAGTTTTTTGTTTCTTTCTAGTTCACTAAGTGTCTACTTTCTGTTTTTAAGAGGTTAACGTGACAGCAGTAAAATCAACTGCCTCTTTATATGTATCTTGGTCTGACCAAATAAAAGATGTTAGGAATGGTCTCAGAATGGTAGGTCTATTTCTTGTCAATACAAGTCTGTAACAATATTATGAAATATTTCCAAAATGCGTATTTAGCATTTACCGGCATTTGCAGAAGTTAGGTGCTTAGATATTATTGAATATAATGGGAGTTAGGAATTTCTTGATAATGTCAGATGTCCAAATACGCAAATAACTGCTAGTTTTTAACCCACTTAAACTGATGAGAGCTAAGTATCCAGTACTGCAAAATCTTTTAAACATGATTCTGGCCTTTTCAGTCTTTCTTGAAACTGAGATTGGACTGTTTTAATCATGAACATGGTTTAGAAAAGTTTGTCTTGATTGTTGGTGTATCTTGTTCCTGAGGGAGATACCATTACTATTTCAAATATCTCATTGTCATGTCAGCATTTGACACATGAATGCTATTAATCTGTGTTCGGTATATCTATCCTTGATGATTTTTACTCTGAATATGAGAAGATGCAGTCACAACTGTGGATGTTTCAAAAGGTAAGAAAATAATGTAAACTTGTAAATAATTAGGAATTTACTGGGTCAAAATTTAGTTACTTCAACCTCTCATATCAAGCCAGCTTCTTTATGCTTTTTATTGCACTTCTCTGAATAATTTCCAGCATGTCAAGATTTTGTTGGTGATGAAACATATGAAAAGTGAATACAAAATTCCAAATGTTACTGCATTACACTCCTGTGGTGGGAGACTATTAAATCCCTGCACTGTGTGTGATAAAATGCCTGCTTCCTGCTTCTTCCCGCCTGGGTAAGTATTGAAAAGTCTTTGTCTTTTTTTCTGCACTTCATCACATGGCAAACTTGTGTCTAATTTACTTTTCACTACCATATTGAGATTTTTCTAGGTTTTTGGTTCTAATTGAATAACAAAGTTTTAGACAATTTCCTGGAGTTACAAGCTAGAGTGACCATCTGTGGGCCTAAGAGTCATTAAGTTTCCATGTCATTTCCACCCATTGTCTTCCTTTTAGGCTATCCATAAGGATTCCAGTTAGCAACCAAACGTAATGATGGGTTGGTTTTTTGTGTCATGGGGAACACCTGTCTGTTGGGAAGAAACTGAAGCTTCCAACTTTTTTAAAGTAGCTCAGTGAAGAACTGTCAGTTGGGAGCAACGTTTGCTCACTAGCAATCTGGTTTGGCCATGTCAAATCCATGACCCAAAACTGAAAGATGTGGTTGCCTGATCAGCCTGTTTGTTCAAGACTAAAATATAATTGAGTTTAGGCTAAAACATAACTTTCTTTATCAGGTCATATAATAGCATTTGAATAGCTTTATGTATGCTTGGCTATACTTATAATGCTCTTTCTACAAAATTCCCTTCTCCAATTAACTTATTTTTTTTTACTGAGTGTATAGATCCGGTGTGGAATTAGGGGGTATCCCAAGCACAATAAGGACCAAAACGAATATACAGAGAGGTCCCACCTTCTGGTTTATTAGCTGAATTTAAAATTAAGTGACAAACTCAAAGTGTGAGAGAAACATATTTTATATATGTTCTTACATTTGGGTATCCTATTAAAAACTGATTTGTTTTCCTGCCTATGGTTCAGACGTTGCATTTAGTCCCTGTATTGCTCATTTCTTTCCTCAGGAGCTGGTCTGTCAGTAGTGAATTTCAGTTTTATTAATGAATTCTTCTTACCTATCAATCCTTCTGCATTTTTTAACTCAGTTCTGATTTGTTTATTTATTTATTTTTACTTCTGTCCTAAAATGTTGTGTCCTGTGTTTACAGAAGCTGTAGTCTACCACAGTGACAGCTGCATTTCAGGAGTGGCATTTTCTGTTCTTTCTGGTGTATAATTTCCAAAGCTGTCTTAAAACAAGGGAAATACAATTGGCATTTTTCCTACAGCACCCACACGATTACAAGTGCTATGTGGAAATGATACAAAGTCTGTTTCCCTGCCCAAAGGACTTCTCAATCATTTTTAAGAGTAGTTTAGCAAGTGGAATCAGAAAATAGTATGGAACACGTGCAAAGGAAGCATTCTGCAGCAATTATTTCTTTGACTGATCAGATCAGATGCACACACAGCTGCAAAAGAAAGATTTTCTTGTAGCAATAATTATTGCTAATAAATGACTCTTATGAATATGATGGGGATGGCTAGTGATTGAAGTAAGAAAAAGGTAATGGAACAATAGAAAGAAATAGAAAGAAAAGGTAGCCCCTTTTAGGTGGATGACTAAACGAACATTTCACATTCTGGGACTTTGAGCAAGTTAGGCCTGTACTGAAGATGAGTTTTGCTGAGTGGCTTCTGTAATTTCGTCCCAAGTCCTTTGAAATCTTTTCTGGCTGCGATTGGAAGTAAACAGGCTTAGAAATGAATATGAAAAACCACGATTTGATTCAGCTTTTTTTGCTTTTGGAACCAAAAACAATTGCCCATGTTTTAGTATTTTTCTCCCTTGTTCTAGCTGTAATTTGTGCAGTTGGGCTCTGGACTGACAGATTTACTGCAACACACAGAATTTGACCCTTAATAGCAGCAAAAGAAAATGGGCAGTGGAAGGTTTGCAAATTTCTCAGTGTCTTTAGCCTTCTGTTGTTACAAGGCATCAAGTTCCTTTCTATTTTTTTCATGCTTTTTTTTTTTTTTTTTAATCATGCAGGTTTTCTTTTGGCAAACAGGTTTGCATTTCCTTCTCTTTTTCAGAATTTGTGGCCACATAAGTTATCACCTATAAAAAGGCAAGAGCAGGAAATCTTGTCCTTGACATACCCAGTGGAATAAATAATCAAAAAAAAGGTGAGCCATTTCCCATTACTTTGTTCTGGTGGTAATTGCTGTAGGAGATTGCCAGAAGGAACAGTCTCTGTCTTCAGGTCAGGATGGTAAACTGTGGTGTCTGACCATACTAAAGAAGGCACAATTTTTATTTTCTGCTAAATGAGGTAGAGCCATTACTACTTTTGACAGCTAACCTTGTGAGCAGGGTTAACTGCAGAAGAGTATGCAAGGTCTGCGTTGAACAGGGGTGAGAACAGTAACAGAGACAGAGCGGCAGGATGAAGAGCAGGCCACTGTGTTGGAAAGAGGCTCTGTAGCTTGCATAGCTGATTCACAAGATAGAGATTCATGATTTAAAGGTCTGGACTAGTATTCTAATGTTGTATCACTGTGAATGGTAAGAAGGTGACAGAATCATTTCCAAAGGATCAGTATTACCTAAAATATAATAACATATGGGTACCTTAGACGTGTATTGTTGGATAATGGGAATCATTCCATAGAAACACTAGCATAGCAGGACTTCACATCTTAGGCAAGTACAAGATTGCTTTCTGCTGGCTGCCTCACAAACAGAGCAAAAAGATGGTCCCTGCCCTTCCAGCCTAAATATGAGAGACAACAGATGGAGGCAGCCTGGCCAGTACGGAAGTAGAATCCCCACAAGGGGAAAACTTGGGCAACTAGAGTCACAAGAGGGACTGCACAGCACAGGGTCACAAACTCGTGCCATAAATCCCAGCTCTGCAAACTCTGTCCAGCTTGAGGGGCAGGGAAAGGAACCAAATATGTCTGTTTCTGCTTTCAGCTTAGCTGGAACATTGACAGACCTCAGGGACAACGGGATCACGCCACATACACCAGGAAAGCATAAAGCAAAAAGAGTTTACCTTAATGCCTGGATAATAATATTAGTAAACTATGGTAGGTTAAAGCAAAAGGGACTGGGGAGAGAAGATAACAATCTTCTCTTCTGTCTGGTTTATACAAGCAGAACTTCCTTCTGTGCTTTCCCATTTTCTTGGCTACTGAACTCAATTAATTCTCTTTGTTTCGGTCGTCTTTAATCGCTGCTAACAAGGAAATTGCTCTGTATTCTTCCATTGCTTACACTGCACGTAAGCTCAGGATACAGAGTATAAAGCTAATATATTCTATGTTTAATTAGCCCTGTGGTGTCAAGTTAAAATTTGAACCTGTTGGGTTACACTTCTTTCTTCTATAAGTAGATCTGACCTGGGGAGTGACTAGCTGAACAAAAAAGTGCAGTGTTACAGCTGCTCTTTTTAGTCTCAGAAAATGAGCAGTAACAAACTCTGGATCCCTAGATCAGCTTCTGGGATACGCTCAGATGCCTACAATGAATGGTGTAGTTTTCTGCACTGCACAGTCTGGAAAGATAATGTAATTTTTATATGCCAAGCATACCTAGAATAGGCTGCGTTTGCTGTTTTTGTATGTAGGGCTTTCATGGCTTCTCAGCAGCACAGATAAAACTGAAGTCAACATTATCTCACATGTTGTTAGTGGGGTAAGGGAAAAAGAAGGATTGTGACCAATGCTGTTGAGATGAAGGAGCCTTCCACCAGCTGCTGTTGTCTCACATGTGTTCATCTTCTGCTGCAGTAGCTGCCAGATTGGCTTGCTGGTTTTGTGCTATTGTGGAGAGCAGACACACGACTATTTTGCTATTTCCTACCCTTTACTATATCTAAAAATAACAACAGTAGTACAAGCAGTCTTAGTATTAACATGTCCATAATAATATTGAGAACTAAATAATTAAACCAATATCAATCCAGAAAATGATGTACTTTTAATATAACAGTGTGCTGCTTTCTATGAGTTGATAGTGTTTGAAATTTTCAAATGAATCGAGGCTTCTACCAGGTGTTTTTACTAACAACAACAACAAAAAAGTACCTGAGTACTAAGTTTTAGGAAGTTTTTCTACTGGATGTAAAAATAATGAAATTGCTACCTAGGCTGCCTTTCTTGACGTGCAGCTGCCAATCGATAAGATTCGTGAAGATTCCTTTTGAGTACTTGTTGTTATCACTTGATATGTGACGTAAACTGGGGCAAACAAGGTTCTTATTGCAAGTGTCCATTTTGATAATGGAGACCAAATGTTAAAAGATAAGAAAGAAACAAGTACTTTTTCTTTTTTAACCCTTTTCTTCCTCCTCCCCCCCATCAGCAATAGCACAGGCACTCCTCAATTGCACTGGGTTCTGAGCATTTATTTTTAGATCTGAACTTTGAATTTGGTAACATAATAGTTATGAGAAGCCAGGCACTTAGGTAATACACGGCTAATAGATTTGAAGTCTGGTTAGCTGTTTTTTCTTTTTCTTCTAAGGGAAGCATATTGATGATGTAAAGTACAGGTACCCAAGAGGTTAAACACAACTGCTATAGAAAATATCAAATATCAGCAACAAGGATAAAGGCAATACAAATTACTGGAATAAATACAATGAAGCTCTTTGTTTTCATATAAGAATTAAAAGATATTTCTAGATGTATTGAACACATTCTTCACTACAGCAATGCCTGTTAAACTGGTGACCAATTGTGCTGGCGTTTTGTGTGTGTGTGTTCTGATCATGTCTTTGAAATAGCTCTTCTCTTCAGGTAAACCATTCACCAGCCATCAAGTGAGAACGATTTTCAGGTACATCACATAGAGGCTGTTGAATGGGAAGGTTGTTCATTTAAGTTAAATTCACGCTGATGAAGCAGATGTTTGTAGCATTTTACCAGCCTCCAGGACCTTAAGGTAAATTCACAAAGTTTAGCATAACTTCCTGCACAGAATTTTTTGCACCAATTGATTTTCAATCAACCCGATGCTTGAAAGTGCTTAAGATTGTTCCTTTCTGGTTCAGAAGTGTGCAGAGAGATTGAGAGGTGTGGGTGAGTATGTTGGATTTGAGTTTAAACACACTTTAAGCAGGGTGCTAGTCTCACTGATGTCTGTAGGATTACTGTAGGATCATGTGCCTGTATTTAAGCAGTGCTCAGATGCTGTAATGAATCTGAATGCTGGGCCTGAGATCCTCCATATTAAGAAAGAAATAGGAATTAGCTGGCTGAGGTAATGCAAATCCAAGCTAAAATCCTACCATGCTCTGTTTTAATAATCCGTACCATTATTTTTAATCTATTATGTACATTTTTATTTTGTTGGCCATGTTTTACAGACATGAAGCCCAAGGCTAAACTCGTGAAGATATAAAATTATTAAAATTCTGCTTTCATTCCTGTTGCTGTAAATTTAGGCTTTGTAATCTGTGGGTGTTTTGGTACTTGAAGTATGGCATCACTGTGGGTCTATAGCAGCTCCCCTGTGCTGGATCAAGTCTCTATTTTTTTTTTCTTTTACAATGGGTGAGATGTGTTTAATTTATTGTAGGAAACTCTTAAAGATGCAAGATCCTTTTTAGAGGCTTCTACAATAGCCGTGAAGCACTTATTTAATCCTATTGAATGGAGGCTAGATTTACTAGCTGGGCCAGACATGATTTTTGTTCAGGAGTCATCTTGGAGTACATCGAAGTTTAAAGATCTTTGCAGAAAAACCACGGAGAAACAAAAGGAGTAAATTTTAAAAGGAACTTTGTCAAGGAGTTTTAGATGTTAAACAGATAGAAAAACCATGGTGGCTTGACTGAAACGAGTGTTGGGTTAGCAGAATCGTTACAGATCCAGTGAGACATGCTAATGAGGCACTTTAAATGCAAGTTTGATGGAAAAAGGGGCAATTTCATACCAAAGTGCAGCAAGGTTACTGAATCAAAGAAGGTACACTTCAGTTCTGCAGATGGGAACAATGCTCCATTGTCAGATCCTTTTTCCTTTGACTTTAAACATGTTTTAACTACACTATTTACTAAATTGTACAATGTGGCTTGCCCACTGATTGAGAATTTATGACCAGAAACAAACCTGTTAGGGGAAAAAAGAAAAACTGAGTGTGATCCATACTGTAGCTGCATGAAATAGCTTGAATGGACTTAACCTGAGCACTGTGGGGGGTGCACAATATGTTTTTCAAGCCCAGGGGCCTGGGATCTGAGTTCAAATAGAATTTCGTCTTTCAATAACAATTTAAAAAAGGGAGAGTGTTTGGAGACATCTGTGGCCTCTCAACCTGTGTTAATATAGATGTCTCAGTTTTGTCTTAAAAAGCCTGCTTCAGAATCGTGCCTTGTCAACCCATCCAGCATGTGAAATTCCTCATATTGCATCATGCTTGAAATTCACAAACATCTTGTTTTACTTTCAATCATTACAGCTCTTTTGGTAAAAATAAAGACTAACAACATCAGTACTTGCTCCTACTGCCATGAAAAATCACAAACCTTTAGCTTCCGTGAAGCAGAACTCGGGCTCTTTTATAAGATCTATTGAACAGCTTTTGGGCAAGATTATTACGCACAAACACAATGAAATGGCCTATTTTTTGCCATGCTATTTGTTAACAGAATGAATAAAATTCATTTGAAGTGAAAAAAAAACAGACTTTTTCCTCATCTAGTTCAATAGAACCACGCTGGATAAATTACAGAACACGCTGCTCCCCCTTGGTGTAACAGAGCCTCAGAACTAACAGTTATAAGAAATTTCAGTTAGGGGTATTTCATTTATTTATTTATTTATTTTTATTTCCAAGCCTGGAATTTGCCTGTAGCAAAAATATTTTTGATTTCACACATTGCGGAAAGTTGCTCAGCTGGGTTCTGATTTTAACCTGCAACTTCCACTGGTTGCCACAGATGATCATAGTCAGAGTCCGAAACCACAGGACTAGCATAAATAGGATGCTAGGATGGAGAATCTTATCAGGTCTGTTCTCAGGCCTCAGAATGGATTTTTATGTTGTTAGATGCCAAAAATTGCATTCATTGTTCTCAACATTTCACTACTTTTTATTGGTAAGCTTCTAGTTCATACCTAGGTCTAAAAAGACTATTCCTATGTAGAGGTTCTCTGTGTACTTTGCAAAATGAAAAATACATGGTATCTCATTGAGGCCCCTTATATTGCAGTGCTTTTTTGCAAGATTTAGTGAAGCACCTGTATAAAGTGGGAAAGCTTTATTTGTCAATTGCAATGGAAAATGTCCATATAAAATAAAATCTATTAGATACACCATCAGCTGGAAGAGATCAGCTATAGATCTACAATTTTGCAAACTTCTATGGTGCTGCAAGCTGGGCTTTTGTTTTTGACCCTGCAGAGCAAACTTCTGAGCTGGGTTTTCACAATGTATTTAGGTTTGGGACCAGTAATTATGAACCTTTAATATGTATTACAAGTGAGGCATTACATCTAGACAGAATTATTGTGTATAGTTGCCTGTAGATTCATTCATTAAGTGCTTATTGCACAATTTTGTACTGTTTAAACACATTACTGGGTAAGTAACATATGACTAGAATGAAAGTTTTCTGGTTACAGGTATATATGTTTTTATCACAGAAAGTGCAAAAGTCTAGATAATAATAATGAAAACTGAAAACTAGGTGGCAGTAATATCCCAGCCTTACAGCTCTCCTGTGAGTGATGATGGGATGACTCATACTTTTCTTAGGAATCCTGAGGGTACTGCAGTCCCATACTGAATGGCTTAGCTATTAACAAACAGTTAGAAAAAGTACAGGACCAAGTGTTCGTATGGGTTCATTCATTTAAAAACATAACGTTAGAACATGATTAGCTGTAAAGAAGTAACAAGAAAAAAGTAATGAGAAAAAAGGAGTAACAAGAAGTAAAGGACTGAATATTGTAGGGCAACTAATGAATACAGCTAAGCTTGTTTAATTGTTATATACATTAGAAGCAATTTCTTTCCTAATTGCAGTGACAGGAGAGGAGGAGCTATGATTACTTCTGAAACTCTCGTGTCTTGTGGTTGTGGCTTGGGGCCAGCAAGTATTTGAAAGTCCATAAGCAGATTGCTGTTCACACCGGTGGTTATATATAGCCTGTGGGGTGGGTATTCCTCTCATGCTGGGGTAAGCTAAAAGCAACGTGAGGGAAATCAGCAGAATTACTCTGTAGAAGGACTATTATTGGCTCTAAAGCTCCCAGGAGTTCATGGTCAACACCCTCATTTATTTAGAGGCATGGACTTGAGGCTACAGTCCTAGAAGAATTAGACAGCTAAGATTTATTGGCTGACTTCATTGTTTAAAAGCAATACTCTCCTTAGATTCATACAACTTAATTGCATTTGCAAAGAAGAATGTGATGTCCTTTTCTGGTTAGCCAAACTGCTTGGGTGGCAGGACTGGGCAGAAAAGTTTGGGGAATCCTTCATCTTAAATGTGGCTATCAGTCTGACGGTATTGGATATATCTATTTGCTTTATTCCAATAAATTGTTTTGTTTGGAACTGGGTCACCTAAATATTCTCAGAATTGTCTGAGCTGCCACAAGCTCATCTTGTTTCATGCAATATTGCAGAGATTTGTTCTGCGTTTGATTTGAATTTATGTAGCTCTGCATATGACAAAGATCTTTTAATATCTGCTCCTTTTGCAACAAATAGTTCTGTGCTTTGAAAGATCTTGCCATACAGGTTAAATTCAGAATATGTCAGTGGCACTCCTGCCTGTAATGTAATTAAACTTGATATGTTCCTCTTGTTCTTCAATGAGAAATTTTTAATGCATTCTAAGTTTTTCTGTGCCTTTTTTTTTTTTTTGGTCTAACTAGGATATGTCTTTTCTTCGTCTTTTTTATTTATTTACTTATTTATTTTTAGGTATCTGAAGTCCATTTCTGTTACTACTTCTGTCCTTCTGAACCATGTACTTAGGATGAATGAGGTCGTAACTATTGGTTATTGAAAAAAAGATGTCTTCCACATAGTATCCAGAGAATTCACAAAATATCTCTGTCTAAACCTAGCAGTAGTAGAAAGGCATTTCATCTTAGCTGTAGGACTACTCAGTAGGTGGTGGGTACCAGTCGCAGGATGACTTGCTAGATAGTAGATAACAGTTAATGGTGAAGTTTTACCTTAAAACTAATCACTCCTGTTTTCCAAAGCCTCCGTTTTCATTCCTTTGAGCCATTCTTTATTTGCATAATAGTGAAGCTTATCAACCCTGTCTTTCTAGTGCTTTCTGAAAAAGTGTGATAAGATTAGTTTATTTATACATTTTTTGCATATGTTCAGGTGTTCATTATGTTAGCAAAAAATCGGTAAGTCTTTTGTACCTGAGCCAAACTGACTCTAACCGCTGCCAAACTAGATCTTCTGCAGGGATGGGAGGATTTTTGACCTACTCCTAAGGACATAGGGAATAGGATATGCTTTGGGGTAACTTACTCATTCTGTGAGTCTCGTAAATAAGCACAGTTGGCACGCGATGTAAATTTCTGCCTGTCTTGGGTTTAGGCTCTCTTAAGCAATTATTCCCACTTTTATAGGTATGTAGCCAACTATATATACCTTAACTCCACAGCTGAGAGCTTGCTTTTAAGCACAAAAACAAGATGTGAATTTTTGTTTATCCATATTTTCTAGGCTTAAGTGCTCTTGACGATGGACGATTGGCCTGTTCTTGTTCTTCTGGCAGCTTAGACAAAAAACTTTTCTGCAATGCTGGTAACATGGGGTCAAACCTAATGCATACATCTGTGGACTTTTGCCCCAGCAAGTCTGCTGTCTTCTTTTGACAACAGAGCTAAAGGTCTATTGGATATGCTCCAATGTTTTAAACTTTTCAAAAAATATATTTCTACAGAATTATATTGTTGAGAGTTCCTGTTGCAATTTAAAACAAACAAACCAAGCTGCAATAGGTATAGTTATCAGCAATACAGAGAAGTTCATAGCAATTACTTTTATAACATCAGAGATCTGCTGAGGGTAATTAACATGTATTGCCTTAAGATCCCAGTACAATTTACACTTTACAATCACATCATAAATAGTAGGATATCTGTGATCTCTTTCATGTCTGTGGCTCTGCTTTTGCTTTTACTTAAGAGTGTTAACCAGATGACACTTTCTGTCCCTTAATTTATTCTAACAGCCTCCTGAATGCCAAAGCTCCTGTTGTTGGAAACCTTGTCTAAGAAAGGAAAAAATGAGCATATGTAATTTCTGGGTGAGTTTACTGGCTTGTGTTCTCTTCAAAACTCCATACAACTATATCTTGTAGAAGTCAACGTTACATTTTCCTGCAGAGGGGGATTGCAGAATCTTGCATAACAAAAGTCAGCTAAAGAGAATTCTTTATCCTTTCTGGGAAAAGCAGCAGCATCTTATTTGCAGGAAACCAAACATAAACAATTAACTTTGAACACTTGAAATGAAAATACTTTTGAAACTGGGGACAAAAACTAATTTAAGTATATAAGAAGGAAATACATTTCTGTGTACTATTTCTGAGTTACACTGCATAAATTAGTAAAGAAAGGTGCCTCTGTTTCAGATAGTTGTGCATGGCTTTGAAGAAAATAAGTATACTTGCCTTAAAATGCAACATACTTCATGAATCTTCTAATGAGCTCAGAACCTTGATTTACATGTCTGGAAGTCAAAGACTTTTTTTTTGCCTTTCCTCTCTGTAGGATCAGGATTGAACCCCAACATTAACATTTCCGTAGAAATCACTTGTGCATTACATCAAAAAGAAGTGAAAATTTTTCAGCAAAAGAAATATTTGTTTCTAAACTAGTCTTTTTTTTTGGCCCTGGTTCAGTGAACGTGTAAGGATGGTTTTCATGGGCACACAAATCTTTAGGGTCAGGGACAAAAGCCATTAAAATCTTTTTTCGTGTGGTGTAATACTAAGGTAATAATCCTGTCAATAGTGTGAATGGTGTACACTGATTGCAATGAATGCTTTATATATTCCAAGCAGGAAGGAGGCAATTCCTATTTCTATTTACAGAAACATAATCGGCATGCTTTCAAACCCTTCTGCACATGCTTTGTTCTAAGCACATATTCACCATGGTAAACCTACGTGTAGTTACAGTTTTGAGAGTGGCTTTTGCAGGATTGGAAGCCTTATTTTAAATATGTACTACTTTGGCTGTTGTCTTAATGGGCGCTCTTATCTGCAAAACCTTTCTCTGAGCTATTCTTCTAAAGCAGTATAATATTACTAATGATATGTGTATTGGGTCTTAGGTAACTTTACAAATCTTTCGTTATAAATGACCCCAAAGTCTTGTGTACATAAGACCAGCTTTACATGAAACAGTAATTCAGTTTTTCCTGGGACAGCAATAGCATGACGGAAGATGTGGGGAACACTTCAGGTGGTGGTATTATAGAGCTATTTCCCAGTAGAGAATCTGGCCAGGATCCTCAGGTTAACTTCACCATCTCCTGTGTGTCAGGTCTCAGTGATCAGGCATGGGCAGGACGTGCGGTTATTGTTCGTTCTGAAAGGGCCCAGGTCCTCTAAAGTAATGAAAGAGCAGCGGTAGTGGAGGCTGAACAAAGTTTGTGGTATACATTCTTTTTGTGTTGACTGAACAAATGATGTTATCAACCTTTTTTTCTATTCTGAATTCTAAACACAAGCAAGCCTTTAATGCAGATCTAAAGTTATACAGGTCTAAGTAAGCCCTGTGTAGCTTATTTGCCATTTCGACTAGATTTATCTCTACATGCTTAAAGTGTCTTTATAGCACTATAACAGTGGTATAAATACACTCTGCTGAGATGCTGTGTATTATGCATATCTGTTTAACTTTATTAGCATTCTTTTGTATATAAACATTACAATCTGGTCCTGAAAATGTTTCTCACTCCCCCTGGAATCTGGATTTTCAGGCTGGAAAATTGCCTTTAAAAATAAATTCAGAACACTTCATGGATTTGTCTTACACTTAGATGGTAGACTTAACATTTCTCTCATTATAATACTTAAGTTTTTTAATATATCATATGTTCTGTCAAATTTTCCAAAAGAAGCATGTAGAAACTGTATGAGATCTATACTCATGTATTGAATGATTATTTAGCAGTGTCAACTGTAGAAGCTTTTTTTTCTTCTATGAACTGGTTAGAGATGGTAAATAGCAATCTTTTCTGGAAATATAGTGAGATTTTATATATAGTGAGATAGCCTGAGATTTTTTTATTTTATTTTATCCAGTATTTGACAGCTTGGGTGCTGAGCATCTGCTCAGTCTCCTTTATTGCTGTTCAGCACTTTGTTTGGCTTTCAAGCAAAATGTTCCCAGTCTTCATTGCTGGTGCTCTACACCTGCTTTCACTGCTCATTTCATATATTCCTGGAAATTGGTAATTTTACCAACGATGACCTCCCAGAGAAAATTCATATAGAATTTGATCAAACTAGTAATATTTTTTTACAGATTTCTTTAGAAACAGAGTGATATTTCTAGTAAGATGTTCCAAAGTTGATTCAATAAAAAACAAACAAACAAAAAAAGCATACACACACTACAAAATTGACATGGATAAAAAGGCTGCTTCTTTCTTCTTGCATCAGGAGGAAATTCCTCTCTTCCCTTGTAATCCAAACACACTCATATCACTGGCCCTGTGCACTCCTGGCATTTTGCTGCTGTATGTTTTTATTTAGTATGATACAGCTCGTGGGAACCAATTCTGTGAGTGTCACCTATGCATTGAACAGAACCACTTCTGTGAACATCTTTTTAGAGGTGGATGACTTTGGTAAAGGACTCTGCTTTTGGAATATGATGTCCTAAATACGTGAGTGCATTTGTCAGCAGTGCCTCTACATACCTGCAGACACGCAACCCTAGCCTTTTTTGTCAGGAAAATTCAGCTTCCACAGCTTTTACTCCTTGACACTTTTGCTGCTCTGGGGCATTAGCAGAAGGCAGATCAGGGGGCCTGGGAGGGACACTGCCTCCCTGCAGAACAGCAGGGCTCAGTGGGAGCTGTCACAGAAGTGAGTGCCTCTCCTGCCCGCACACTTCTCACAGCTGTTCCTGCAGGTGGAAATGCAGCATATATGGATTCATCTACACCTCGTTCCCCTGGAATGCAAGATAGGTGGGGTGAAAGTAGCCACTGAGCAGGGTTATTGTGATGACTTTTCTGCAGAATGTTTTCTCTTAAGTGTCAATTTTCAAATGGAAAATATTTCATGTGCCACCACGTAATAGAGATACCGCAGAGTTATGGAACGTTGTTCTTGAAAGCTGTCGTGAAACAAATATATATACGAGGTTATAAAAATGTGTTTTGTATAAACTGCCCTCTTTTAGCAAACATTTCACTTCCTATAATTGTGTGCGCTTTTGTTTGAACTTATCAAATATGTGATTGTTCTCCTTCTCCTTCGGGGAGATAAGAAATCCACCCTCCGGATATGCAGAATGATGTTGTTGTAATCACTCTTCAAAGGGAGATCCACAGTAAACAAATGTTAGCTTGTCGCCTCTGCAGCTTCTTTTGGTGAGCTGCAGAACTTCCAGAAAAAAAGGCTGGGACTAAGGGAAGAGGAAAAATTTAGCTGTAGAACAAGTAAATAATTTTCTTTTCTTCAGCCCAGGAAAGACCAAAATTTATCAGTCCATGTAAGAACACTTACCTCAAAATATATTTATATCTGTATTTTTTATCTGTATTTTTTTTTGTTTTGCCTCAGAATAGGTTGACTCTCTGAAGTTTGCCAGCATTACTACAGACCAGTAAGACTGAGAAACAAAATCATTCCACAAAGAAAAGTGCTTGGACCAGATAATGTCATAGAACAGCAATTGGATTCCAGTGCCTGAGGTACATGGCAATTTTATTGTTGTTGTTATTCATGCCTGCCAAAATTGCATCCACTCACTGAAGCGGCTATGCTGACAAAAATTTTAAATGCAGACTGTGACTTAGAGCCATCTTTTTTTCTGCAAAGTTCCTGAATGTGACCAGATCATTCCTGTGGAACCCAAACTGGTCAGCACAGTTCAGCAGCACCAGCCTGCAAGGTTTCCCAGCTTGCCGACTGAGTGTGTTTCATTTTTGTTCTGTGGAGACCATCTCTGAGTTAAAAAGCTCAAACTTTCCACTGTTCCACTCTAGGCCTAACAAAGTCATATAGTGTTAACATAGGTGTGGTTGCTCTTTGAGACACACTGCAGAAACTGGGCAGGGCTAGGACAGCTGCCTAACTGTGCTGAGGGTCTGAATGCTCTGGAGGGCAGATGCAGAACATCTGCGAGCATGAGCTCAAACACAACAAGCAGGGAAGTTGGTGCTTTGGTTCATAAGTTACCTACATTCTCCCATGAGAAACTGTTGCTTTTTCACATAAATGTGAGTGTGGAGGCACGTGGCTCATTTCTGTATTCTGCATGCAGCCACATTTGTGTTAATAGGCAACAGATTTCTTCTCACAGCTGCTTATCACTCAAAAAACTGAAAGAGCAAAACCCCAAAGCCATGTATAGTGCAAAACCTTGTTTGTTAACAATATGGTCTCTCACAAGAAGAGATGGAAATCTGCTCTCTGATTTCTTCCAACACTTTAGATTCATGTGAGCTGGAGAGATAGCTCTGTACATCTTGTGAGTTGCTAACAGAAAGAAAATCATGGTTTATAAACCAGAGGTTTGAAATTCTTTGTTGTCACACAGTTTGAATTCCTACCCAAATCTATTCTGTAATTTTGAAACTTTTGAGGTTTGCTGATCCATAACATAATCCTTATTTCATAATATACATCTTTAAGATCACATGGAAATCAGTGAAGTTAGATCTTGCTTGAGTCACTGAAAGTTAAAACCAGCAGATTCAGATATTACAGGATTAAGCTAATTTTTTTTTTTTGCATAACTGTGGAAAGAATCATCTTTCCCTTTTTTTATTTTTTTTTTTTCTTCCTCCTCCACTTTTGGAGCTCCTTCTGACAATAGTAGCTGAAAAAGTGTTGTGTAGTAAATCAGCAAGAGGCAAATATTCATCACTATTGTCAACACTTAGCAGATCTCAGCCTCAGTTAGAAAAGCACTTGTCTAATTGTATTTCTGTTCATGAAAGCAGTACTTCTGAATATGCTTAATATTAGCGTGTTTAAAGCCACGCGTAGTTTAAATGCTTTCCTGAATCTGGGCCTCAGATTTTGGAGTATCTGGTTGCCTCCAGTTCTGCTGTGTACATTTTAACCTGTTCCAGGTTTCCAGAATTTAAACAAGCAACTGCTTCTTGTGGTGTTTGTGCTCTATTTGTAGCAGAGAGGTGGGAGTGACACGTAAAGATTCATCTTTGGAAAAGGTAAGGAAAATGTGAAACTGCAGCCATAAAACTTTGCATAGCTGGTGCTAGTGCACATGGCAGCACCTGGGGACCAATGCAATAGAGTAAGAACTTCCTACATTGCCATGAAGGCTTCACTGAGAAGATGAATTGTGAAGCATTGTATTTGAGTAAGACTGTATCTTCTCTGTTTTCTAATCCTCCTTAGGAGAAGTGTTATTAACATTGAACTTATTTACATTTGAAATAAGATGTAATCTAGCCAAGTATTTAAGCAAAACTACACATATCCTTTGAGTTAAGCATATACATAGGTATTTTGCAGATTACTCTAATTATTTTGCACTTCTATTTTAAGATTTGGTGCTGTACTTCGAGTTAGAAATCTTACCCAGGACTAAAACCTGTCAGCTAAAATTAAAGATCTCATGTATTCTCAATGACTGTCATTGCCTCTGCACTCAGATCAAACAAATCCACTCAAAAATATAAATCCAAGTTGATTTTTCTTGCTTTCGAAACAAAGGTTCAATTGTAGGGATCCAAGGGTGTCTTCTATTATCTAAGCATTTTTTTTGCAGAATGTACATTGATTCATGTCCCTTAGCACAGTGCATTCTTTGTTTGATTTGCTTTCAACATTTTTGATGTAGATTATTTTTTTCTTTTCTGTACTAGGAAAGGTAGTTTCACTTTTCATCACTTTTCCAAAGAATGAAATGTTTGTCTTTGCAAAGTTTCCAGTGGATGACAATCTGTAGCATGTTAACAATTCATTGGAAAAATACTTGGTGACTACAATACTGAAATGCAAACCTTGTCTTAGTGGAATCTGGATTTCCTCTTTTTAAGTTGGTTCTGTTACCTAAAGATCAAAATTTTGTAACCTCTCAAAATTAGATCAACATCAGAACACCCTCATCAAATTCACTTTTTAAGTGTTTAGTGCATCCAAATCCTGCCCAGGTCATTAGGAGATGTAGGGGTTCAGTGATTTAAAACAGTCTATTGCTTTTAAAGTGCTTTAAGATGTATTATGGATGCTAAATCTAAAGACAAAGACTAAAAATGTTGGGTTTTAATTGGTTTAAGCCAAACTTTAATTTCATTGTCCCAGATAAAATGAGGCTATGGGAGTTATCAGCTTCTATTATGCAACAAAGAGTATGACTATTGGAACACAGAATACCTTTACATAGTTGCATGTTTTCCACTTGTCTCTACGTTTATGAAGGAGCATATAGCTACAGATATCCATTCTCAAACTAATTCCATTGCACTTGCATAACTTTAGCTGTCGCATTTAAAATTTTCCTAAGAAACCATTTGCTTTCTTGTTCTCACTTTCTTCAAATACCTCATGTCTACTTTTGCAAAATTAACATGTGTAGACGTTTTATTCAATACGATGGCTTTATCTTCCTTGTGCTATAATTCTAGCACAAAGAAAAGTGAGGAGGCCATTTTCTTCATTATAGTAATAGAATCTGTTCAAAGCTTAAATTTCACATACCCTTTATGATTAGACTTGCAATATCTTGTGTGGTGACTACTGACTGATACTGCAGGAAAAAAACCAGGGGTACCTGTTTGCATGTTTACCTGCCATTTTGAATAAAAATCTAAAACATCTGGGAGTAATTAACTGGAGTGAAAATCAAATTTGCCAGTCCTTCTTAGGAAGCAATCAGTAAAAATAATACTAGTGAGCTTTGCAGTGGTTTGAACTCACAGTGACACAGGTTCAGTTCCAGGAATCCAAAATGCAAATACTTGTAACACAGTTTCGTGGTCATTCCCGTGTTCTGCTGTTCTCACACCAGGAGATCTCTCAGAAGCAATCTCCACTGAAAGGCGTTTCTGAATACTTCCACCCTTTTCAGAGTGGGGAAAGTTACAGGTGTACATATTGTACAAACGCGCTGCCAGAAATAATTGCGTGTGACAGCTTGAAATCCACGATCTAGTTACAGTACCTGGCCAGATCTGCTATGGACATAATACCACATGTTTTGGTTGCATGCCAAAATGTTCTGTGAATTCCACCATCTTCACAGCCATTTAGCTAAGTGAAAGTATGTATATATACCTTTGAGAAATAGGGTTTATTTTATATAAGACATAAATAAAATCTGCAATAGCAAGGATAGACAGCACATTGTTAAGTGCAGAAACCACAATCACCAGAAAGACTTTGTTTTATTTACTGACCCAAACCACAGGAATTCTTTCATTGCTTTCTTTCTATTCAGGCAGGTACCATATCAGGATGGGCGAGCTGTCTTCAGCTAAGCAAATTAACCTGTTGAGAAACAAAAGAGAATGCAAGTTAACAGGTTCTGATTTTGCCTATGAAAATGAGCTTCAGATGTGAGGTTGCGATCTATGTAAATTAAATGTAACCCTTCAGTATCAGAAGATAATTCCACTTGGGCCACATAAGGACAAAAAAACGTGCTAACGGTCCATGCTGCAACACCAGATTAAGGTACCTATTGTGTGAAAAATAAATAAATAATTTTACAAGCTTTTCTGTCCTCCATCTGTTACTTGAAATTAGAAGAAACAAAAACTCTAGTGCAATGATTTCTCTCTTTCCTTTCACAGTGCTAGCTTGGAGCTGCCTTTTGCCATTCAAGTTTATTGCTTTCTTGGACTTCAAACTGGTTTCTTCTGAGTGAAGCAAAGATTGTACTGACCTAAATGTCACTTGAATTAATGTATTCTTGTTTCAGTCTTTATTTTTCTCTTGGAGCCACTGCTAGCTTAAATTACCTTGTATTTCAGCGCTTGAAGACAAGGTCACAGTTACGCAAAGAATTAGAACTGTGGGACATTTCAAGTTTGCTTTCAGTATTTCAAGAGGAACACAGAGATTTCTGAACTTACAAAGCAAAATAACTATATCAGAAACTGGTGCATAAAACCACTTGCTCTGTGATGTATTCTTCAGTGAAAGTGAGGGGGAGTGACTAGCCAAGCTACATAAAGAATAGTGTGTAAATCACAGCCATGGCTGGAGAACTCCTTGACCACGAGTAATTCTGCTGCTAATTTTCATCTTTTTTAATTTTTTTCTTCTGATGAACATTCCATTCCCTTTGCAGAGACCACAAACGTCCTGTCTCTGCACATAATACTTGGTCTGTCAGCTGTTTGTGAGTGATATATTGCAACAACTCAGTATGCACTTCTGCTGGTTCAAATCATGGCTCTCCTGGCAAGTTTCTAAAATCTTCAAAGAAAAGCAAAATATTAATGTCTAGTATTCAGAAATATTCTACAGGGAAAATAGGCACAATTATTAAAGTTCACTTTCAATGAGTGTAATCAAGCTGGTTATGTGTTCATGGCAATTTTCCTGGAAAACAAAGGCAAGAGGTACTATTCTCATATTAGCAGAGCTTTTCTTAAAGGTGTGCTTGGATATCTTGTAGCATTCTTTTGGTGGTATTATTCTGTGCTCTCTGCTTTTTCAAAGTACATTGCTACTTTTGGTCTTATTCTTGTAGAGTATTAACAGAGCACGTTCAGCTATCATACAATCTTTCCATGAAATAAATAAATAGATAAAATGACTAGAAACAGCTAAGAAGGAAAAGAGAGGCATATAAACCAGATAAAAGGAGATGCTTTTGCTTTTTGTCTTCTGTTTATACTCAGTGTGTATTTGTTCACTTACTGTCTAGGCCTCTTCCTTGTCCCTTGGACTATAATTTAATTGATCATCAGCCTGATGGCTCCTCATAAGATAATTCCATGTGCTGGATACTTTCTACATTAACTATGATGCCTAAGTTCACTTTCTGTTCTCAACTTCCACCACTTAAAAATGACAAACTTAGGTGTTTCCTGTGTTCTCCAGAATTATAGCAGCTGCAACAAAGAATCCCTAACCAATTTTCCAGGCTGATTCATCCAGCCTCTTCCTCCTGCTTTGTTGCTGTTCTCTCACCTAACATAGCTGTAGAGTACAAACTCCGACAAATTGCTTAAAATCATAATTTCTAAGTGGTTTTCCCACCTAGAATATATCCTGCTGTGTAATAGGCTTTTAACCACAGCTAATAATTTCCTATGGGAGTTTGTTAGGTAGAAAATTAAATGAAAATCTGAAGCAGCTTGAAGTTGTGTCCATTTTTGTCTTAATATTTTATCTGTAAGTTACTCATAAAAATTAGGAAATGGTTTGGAAAATTATCGAAGAGCAAAAATTGATTCAGTCATTTGCATATGGCACTATGAAATGATTTGCATAAGCTGTTCTGAATAGAAAATGCTGTAATGGTGACAATTCTGGATACATGAGGAGAACTGGCAAGATCTATGCTTATCTTAAATTTGATGTGTGCCTTGGATGAGGGTCAGAAGAAAGTTGGAGTAAATTGTTTGCTTTTAATGTCCGGTTCCTTAAGGAGTTGGGTGGGTCCAACATCTAACAGTCTAAGCCATAAAGGAAAACTCTTATGTAATTTGCAGCAAATCCAAAGCTTCATCTAAAAGCTGTGGCTCATCAAACTCACAAGTGCTGTATTCAGGGAAATATGATGTTGCAACGCGCATTACATCAGTATTGCAGATACAGTGCACTTGGTACTGCTGTTGCTTGAAATTGCTGACTTGTAATTTTTCATCTGGACCAACTGAGTCAGCAAGTTCATTCTATTTGGAGCTGTTTTATTTCTACAGCAAATCTGCTTTCAAGCAGTCGCAATGAAAATACAACATATTTCCTGCATTCCTTAGCAAAAGCCATTGTTTTTAATTTTACTTTTTACCTTGTGTACAACTGTGGCTCCTGGAAAAGGAGGAATCCTCTCTACTTATTTTTGACAAGCACTAGAGTCTAAACGTTAACAACCACCAGTTCAGTACTTGATTGCACTAAGTGTGATAGGCAGAAGTAGTTGCAGAGACCCACCTGTCCGTTCTTCTTGGATCTGCGATGTTGCATGCAATCAGCATCCTGGAGTTGAGCTAGGATAGCCCATACAAACAAATTTCCTCCTGCTATGACATGGACTGACCTGTGTTATCAGATGTCAATACTTAAAGACACTGTGGGCCTGGATTTCACCCTACCCAGTTGTTTTTAAAATAAAGGATGAGGAACAATGAGGTGAGGGCATGGAAGAAGACCAAAAGAATATCAGGGTCACTTACTGCTGGCAGAGTTACTCTCTGTAAAGATGCTCTTCCAGATTCAAGCTGGTTGCATGGCCATATCATTAGGTTATTGGTGCCTCCCGCTGTATTTTCATCTTGGACAATGGGCTGTACTGCAGCACACACTTGCCTTGTGGTCTGGGAATAGCCTGGAGTGGCACGGATTGAAAATGTCTGGCTAATGTATGTGCACATCTGCACTTCAGATATAGAGCTGAATGGCCACAGCTAGAAAAGGCCATGTTTGCATGAGAGCGGTTGCAGAGAAAGTGATGTCTTACAAGACCTGGGAAAATGTAAACAAATGTTGTATAATATTGAAAGGGTTACAGCAGAGAGACTAGGCCAGGCTCATGGAAGTCACTACTGTTGAAGAAACAAAACGTGGCAGATACGTGGGAGGAGAAGGGACACATCAGACACGGAGCGGGGGCAGAAGAGGGCAGAGAAACAAGTAATTGCAGAGAAATGCAGTAGAGCAAAATAGGCTGCCAATCTACAGAGCTAACATACCTCTGATCGCTGAAGCAACTTTTTAAGCAACTTTGTAGAGGAGACGTGAGAAGTAAATACGCAAACAATGCTTCTTTTGTTTCAATGAGAAATTAGTTAAGTTTGGTGTATATATCACACAAATATTTGAGGATATTTAAGAGTAGTTACAGACTCAGAAATTATGAAGTTAGTAAGAAGAACTGTAGATACCAACGTGAGGGAAAAAGGCTGTATATTCACTTGGCAGAAGATGGGAACATATTTGTAAAGATGGTTTAAAAGCTTCTGGCATACAGCAGAGCATAGACTCAGAGCAAATATATTCCATACATCACTGGAGCCTAACTTGCAGCTTGGCAAATGTCCTGCAGGCTTGAGTTGGAGTTTTAAATTTGATCTTTCACTTGCATACTACCTGTGGTTATGCAGTTGTTGTCTGGCTGCTTTCAAGCATTTCATGACTTGTGCGATTTCAGCCTGCATTCTCTCTGCTTTAGAATCCCCATGTCTTAACATTTTTGATGTAAAACATGGAGGTCTTCCTATTTAACAACCCCCAAAACGCTGAGAGCCTGGTGAGTAAAGGATTTTCAAAGGCTCAGACAGCAGAAATAGGCAGCTTCCATATTTTGCTTACTTATGTGAAATGAATGTGAATTCTTATACATCTCAAGTCTGCCGATCATTTTTAATGTTTTCACTGGAAAATGTTTCACTTAACCATAGTAGTTATCAGTAGAAAAAAAAGTAGATTATATATGTTCCACATAATTAGTAGAAATCAGAGCTCTGTTGCAATGATTTTTGTCTTTGCTTTCAGAGTGTCAGCTTCCTTCCTGTTCCTCTGAAACAGCTGGTGCTGGCCTCCGCCTTTCACTGAATGGTGGCCCAGGTGGGCCAGAGCTGCGATGCAGGCTGTGAGAGGATGCAGAGAGAGAGGGTAAGGGGTACTTGTGGAAGAAAGGGTGAGGGGAGCTTATGTCCCTAAAACAGCTTTCTGAACATGTGTGGGTCAAGCCCCTTGCCATTCCTGGAGTAAGAAAAAAAGATCCACCAAGAGGTACAGGGAGGGACTGAATTTTTTTAAGCCCCCGTAGACAGAGGGCAAGTGAGGGTTATGTGCAGTGCTCCAGTTTTCTTTGCTCTGAGGAGGCCAAGAAATAGGAATGATAACATTCATTTTTCCTCGTTATCATCTTTTGTCTTTCTGTGCAAAACGTTAGATAAAGTTTGAGCCATAACAATGGAGAAAGAGCTATTCCAAATATTCCTCATGTGGGTGCTAGATGGCGCCATAGATTAATGCTCCAGGCCTTTATCTAGGGATGTTCTGGGGCCAACTCAGCATGGTCAGGTAACAACTTAGCAATTAGTTTGCTTGTGGGAAATTGGATCAACAAAGATATTCAGATTCTTAAATCCTCCTCGTTTCCTAGACTACGCTGGACATCTTCGAGGACTCAGAAGTCTAGCTGGAGCCATGCCACAATAAATGGGGCCACAGCCTTCAGTGGACACCAGTACCTGCTGCACCAGGAGCCTCTCACTTACTCTGATTGTTAGACTCTAAAAAGCTAGGTGACTCAAACAACAGAAGTCATTCACTTGCCTTCACATATCCAAGTGGAGAAAAGTACAGCTGCTGGAAGTGCAGTGAGTTTAATCTCTTTCTGTCATCCACAAACTTTTTAATTAATATTTATTTATTTATTGTGATCACGCATGTTAAAAAAAGCAAAAGTAAGAAACCAACAACCCATAATTCTTCTGGCACCGTTGAGATATATTTCCGTTTTTTCAGGCTATTTCTGTTGTTGTGTTGTTAAAGGATACTTGCCTGGAACCATCCAAACTTTCCACTGAACTATTAAAAAAAAAAAAAAAGCACAATAGAATAAACTGGAAAGCACATCTCTATGCACAAATGTCAGCACACTGTTGGGCATGGGGTTTGTATTCAGACAAAGTCTTGCTTTCTTTCTGGGAAAAAGACTCTTACTTAAAAACAAATGGTTTATAAAACAATGCAAAGAGACTGGGAAGACCACTTTATTGTGAAAAACTTAAAATTCAAATAACACCATGTGAGAACTTTCAGTGGTCAGTGATGGGAGCAGCCACAAAACAATTTGGAGTATGATCAGGGGGAACTAGAAACTACTTAATGGGGCTTAAATATCCAGCTCAAACAGATACACTGGATTGTGCAGTGGCAATATGCAGCAAATTCAGCAATAACCAGCTTCAACCTCTCCATCCCCCAACCCTTCATCATCATCATTGGACACACAGCTGTTAGCAAGAAGACTTGTGTATGATTGGCTTAGAAAATGAGTTACTCTTTCATATCTGGAAGGGTTGAAACATAGTGATGCCATCATCAGTCTCAGCTCTGTGGATGTGCAAAAAGCCTCAATATCCACCCTAATCAGCTGAAATGAGAGGCAAAGTTCATGGTGGGTGTCCAGAGCAGGGGATTTTTTAACCGTCCTCCCTAGGGCATCTGGTATGGGTTACGATCAGAAGCGCAACCTGTGGCACAAGAGCTGTGAGGTAGGAGACCAGGGTCCTATTGCTGCAGCTGGGGACAAGCTGTTCTGCTCCTCAGTGACCCTCTTTCTCTTCCCACCCTTTCTCTTTTGCTGGTGGAAATGCAGGCTCCTGAAGGCCTTGGCTTACTTGTTTTCTCAGCACTCAGGGCTCTGATCCACCATGTGCTACCGTGATACAAACAACTGCTTTCAAGCTTCTGAAAAAACAGACACAAAAATAATATTGCTTAGACAAAATACCTTGGGAAGAAGCTCTCAAGATTTGTTCTAGCCAAGAATGCAGATGTGTATGTCTGTTTATTGACCATGTAAAGAGCAGCAGAGGGGACAGACGTTCCTTATGGGGCACATTCTTAAAGCCTTACTTCTTCTTCCTATTTTTTCTGACATTTGCTGTGTTTTATATTCTCTGGCAACCAGCAGAGCTCCACTGATGCTGACTTGCAGAGCCCATAGAGATACTAAGGAAATATTTTTCCTAGCAACAAGCGTCACACAAAAACATGAAGAAACGCTTCCCCTGCTCATATTTCCTTTCAATTTTTTCAGTCATCTGGTGCTGAGATAAGAGCTGTGTGGTGAAACCTGCTGCTAGTTTGTGTTTCACGGGCAATCTGGAGTACCGAGGAGCACGTCAGGCCTTGACGCCCGCCATTACAGTGGCGTGGAGCCCTGTCTGACGCAGCCGCGTGTGGCGTTGCCTAAGATGGCGGCCACCCCAGGTCTGGCAGGAGGGTGGATAAATGTGACGATGCTTTCTGAGGCCGGGGTCTGCAAGCAAGGCGTTGCAGCCCTGCTGCTCATGCTGCCTGAGGTGTCTGTTGCCACACCCCATGGCTCAGGTGAGGCCATTTTGATGTTGGTCCAAGGAAAAAAATGTAATTAACGAGGGCTGGAGGTGAGCACACCTGGCTGGCTGTTAGGTGTTCTCCACTGCTATGGCCTGGGACTGTGAGGTGTCCCTGGCCATAGAGGATGCCCAGCATGTGGGCACACAGCTTGCTAAACCCGTAGGCTTGATGGAGAGAGGTGCTCCCATACAGCCATGTTCCTGAGGCCATTCTCTGGTCTGAGACTGGGGGCCACCATTGGGAGGTGAGGTGAGGAGCATGGCGGCGGACACATGCGGCCTGGTTGTGGCCCTCGGAACTGAATACCACTGGTATCAAGTCCCACAGCAAACACATGAATCTGACACCATCAACTTTCCCTCCATTTCTTTGAAAACCTGAGAGGGAAACTGGGGACAGTACTTCATCCTGATATGCCAATATTCTGTGTTTTCTGCCTGCTATCGGGACAGAGCTAAAGTGTTATTTATTTATTTATTAACTAAAGCATAATTTTCGGTGATTGAATTATTAGCCAAGTGTGCGCAATGACTGATACTAGTGTCTGCTTGTGAATAACTCCCCCTTATTTTCTGTCCTTGCTCAGCCATGCTGAAACAGTGCTCACAGATGTGAGACCAGCAGCAGCGGCAGAAAGGCTTTGTCAACACCAGCAAATCACTGTTTCTACCTCTGCAAGGTCAGCTGCTGAAGGCAACGTGTTCAAGACCACAGCTCCACAACCGGTGAGGAACATTAATTGTCAGGAAACACTTAGAAATGACACAGTGTTAGTTAGGCAAAAAATGTTCTCATGACAGAGCCAATGTCTGAATTTAAGGCCAGCCTTGCATCTATAGGGTGAATAGTTTGTGAGTAACTTCAGTGGGGTTAGGATGAAGCCCAGGAGTTTCTTACTCATTACTTGCTGGGTTAATGACACGATGAACATCTGCAGAACATGTTCCTGTGTCATCACTGTATTTCCTGAATTTGTCCTCTAGTATTTTGGAAGAATTTATCCTTTGGAAAAGCTTTATATAACAAATTGAAAAGCATTGTCTGCAGTTATTTAGAAATAGTGTGAATAAAGATAGGACCAAATTTGTAAAAAATGGTTTGAAAGCTGTTCATAGGGAACAGAATACAGACACAAGGGAGCTGCATTTCCCAAGATAAGCAACTGTACTGCAGGTTTGAATTGGAGATCTAAATGTCATATTTTACCTGAACATATATCTAAAAGCCTGTATGATTCTTACAAGCTCTGCTTTGTGCTTTCATGGTTCTTGTGTAGAGCTGGAGCTGTGTAGTTGTTTGTTTGTTTATTTATTTATTTATTTATTATTATTATTATTATTATTTTTTTTAGTGAAAATGCAAATAATCTCCAATTATGATGATTTAACAAACTTTAAAAGAAAACCAGAATGCAAAGGATAAAGTTTTAAAAATAATTCCTCAGTTTTTTGTTTTTTTTTTAGCTGAACTTGAACTCTTACACGTTTCAGATTTGCCAGTCACTGGTTATAATTTATCCGGGAATTGTATTTCAGTGAACATCCTAATATGTAGGGACCAGATAGAAGACCTAAAGACTCTATTGTGTGAGGAAGGCTGTATTCTCTGTTTTATCCTTCAATTTGGAGAGGAAAACAATGTGAGGAAATGGTGTGTTGACCAGTTTGTTTTACACATAGTGTTCTATAGAATGAGAGATATAGAGCAATTGCTTTCTATCCATTCAAACAATGTACTGTGGGTACATTGGTAAAGTATGTACCCTGCTCCATGTCATGCCTAATGGCTTATTATTATTATTTTCTGTGTTGTTGCAGACAGATTCTTAATATAAGCTAGAGTAAAATCAAAAGCATGTATTTATTTCAAGATAGAAGTGGAAACATCCCCTCCTTGCAGCTAATAATAGGGTTGACATTGTTAAACAATTAAATTTAAAAATATTAATAATAGGTCCTTCATGCATGTTAAACAAAACTTCAATAACCACTCTGTTTTATTGTTTAACTGTATGTATGAGTCATAAGGAAAGTGTTAATGTTCAGGATCGGATATGAATCATGTATTTGTGAACAATCTTCCAAGGCCAGCACTGAAATCCCAAACACATTTACTCTTTGTAGTTAGTCAGCTCTGCGCTTGGAAACTGAAAGTGTAATCAAAGTGAGAGTTTGTTTATTAACTAGCGGATGCTGTGCATCTTATTTACACAGATTGATAATGGAGGGTGAAAAATAAGGGAAAAGCTGGTAATGCATAGAGCTCTGTGTCCCTGGGGTACAAATCACAAAAGGAACCTGAGCAGCAGTAGCACTAGCCATTAAACGCTGAAAGCACTCTGTAACTTTAAAAGGAAATCCCATATTCATGAAGGGAATCCATATGGCACCCTATTTGTAAGGAGAGGTGCCCCATTCTCTTAAAAGCTGACTTGCATCATTTATTGTTTTGACTGCTTTAGCATTAGGGTGAGAGAATGCACTTCAAGGGGAACAAATAAGACAAGTAAAACGTGCAGGATTAACTTGGGTGTTATATTGTATTGTATTGATTTGCATTACAGATAGAAAATTGGAATTACTGAACTACGAGCTCTTTGTGCTCTCTGTATTCTAGCATACTAAAGAAATCAGGTTCTTTGTAGAAAGCAATCTCACCTGGTAATTACTTCCAATCATTGGTAATAAGTATGTTCCTAATTGCCTCCTTCCCGGAAAAGCACTGAGTGAAAGGAAGGTTGAGTTGCCTGTGCTGGAGAAGGGACAGAAGTAACTGCCAGAATTCATGTCCAATGTTATACATGTAGACTAAGAAAAGTTTCTGAATGCTAGCAGTGGTTTTGGGGAGATCTCTGGATATCTAGGTCAGCCTCTGATATTGTCTGACCTTCAGCAAACAGTTTTTCCTGTCTGGTTTCTCACTTGTGAAATGGATCCTAAAAAGCGTTTGATCAAACTGTCTATAATCCAATGCACAATCTCTCCTATGCTCAGGGAATTGCTATTGAATTTTAGTTATGCTAGGTGTCCATGATTTATGCCATTATGGCATGCCGTATGGAACTCCTCTGGGATATGGCAGAATCAGTGTGGCTTTTGCAAAGGTATGTGTTTGCTTATCTAGCTCTGTGTTGGTGTTCTCATCACTTCAAAATATACTTCCAGCAATAACATTTGTTTTTCATAGCTGTGTGTGTTTGAACCTAATGTAACATTATCAGTCTAAGCTTGCAAGATCATAAAAATCTGGGTATTAATGATTGCATTAAAAGGAAGCAAAAAGTAGATTAAATAACTCGACAAAGCTTTGGCCGAGCTTGCATTTGAATGGAGAATTCCTGGCCATATATTCCTGCCCCTAAACCTCATTTACAGATAAGAAATGACATACATTCACAAAATGTGTTCATACAGAGACTGTTCTGCTGGAGAGCCTGAATAACTGGTTTTGCTACACACTGAAATATGACTTGTGCTCTCAGGTGACAGGCTGCTTGGGGTCACAGCTGGCGCACTCACAGCCTGCTCTGGGCCTTTTTTGGAGGCTACTGCAGCCACCTCCAGGTTGTCCCATCACTTGGGACGTGCCTTAGAAGTTTGTGGAGAGGAGGGTGGTTTTCTATGTTTTGTAAAGGATGTAATGGTAACTGTGCTGCTCAAAGGAGAGTCGCTCGAAGTGAGGTTTGGTGGTGAGTGACCAAGCAGAAAGAAATCAAAAGCAAAGATCGGTGGTGATATTGCATTTAAGCTTTGTTTCCCAGCAACTTCCCAGTTCCTCAAATACGAAGTTTTCTTTTTAATAGGTTAATACTAATCATTCACGTGTTTAAATCCAGACAGTTGCACAAAGTTTACAGTAAAAGAATGAAAAATATAAATAATTAAAAGCCAGTCCATTTAGCTATTTTAGTTCTGATTAAACTGCTGTGTCTTTTGAGCAGAGCCAGACCCAACTATCACTGCTACTTTCTTCTGCAGCAGAAGCACAAACTGACGTCTGATTAGGAATGCTTCCTCCCCCAGCCTGTGTTGGTTTCTTTGTGTTTCTAAATGGTATGCCCCATCTGCTGTTTACACAGTAGCAGGGAACTTCTATGTTTAAAATAAAAGCAAATCAGACCCTTTGCACATTATTAAGCCTTTTTATTCTTGTGACACTGTAGAGGTCTCATCTGAAGTAATTTCAGTTGTAAATTATAAAATGCAGCCATGCAAAGCAATGGCCTGTTGCAGCTTTATAGCAAAGTACCTCCTGGAGGCTGAAATTAAGATCATGTGTTCAAATGTATTAGTATTTAAATATCTTATTACAGATACTTGGGCCAGTCTGTCTTGCTGGCCTGGCAAAATTTATTTTATTGATTGTATCAAATGGTGTTTCTGGACGATAATATCTCTGGATGTATCTCTATTTATCTCTATCTCTAACTAAGTACTAGCAGTTGTGCACTGAAGCAGAGATCAGGAACATGTGTTCAAAGTGCGCTTCCATCGCAACCTGGTGTGAGCTGATCCCTCTCTTTCTCACTTTTATGTTTGGTATTGTCTGCCGTGTGAACTGCACAAAATACAGGGACATGCTGGCACTGCAGGCAGGGCTGACTAAATTACTCTTCTCTTAATGCCTGTCCTTGTTACTGATGGTGAAGCACACCCAGAAGAAGGGATGGATTTGACTCACAGTTGCTCTGTTGATGTAGTTTAACGTGGTTTTACAACCTTTCCTGTTACCTCTCTTCTGAGTAATGCTGTGCAGTCCATGTCCATAATCTAGGATGCAGTCTAGTGTTTTTCCTTATTTGCAGATTTAACAGTCGGTCAGATTTACTGATTTATTTTTTTTTCTTATTAGAAGATTAAGTTTGTCTGCCATTTCTTGTCTACAGAGTCTTTCTGATTTCTGCCTGCCTTCAGCAGGGTCAACCAGCAAAGCCTGCCGCCTTCTCAAGGTTGAAAATTTAAACTTTGCTGCCATACATTGTCTGCGGGTTAAAAAATGACTGCGCTGAGCTGATTAACAGAGAACATTCAGTTTCCTTATTGCTGATGAAAGGGCTGGAATACTTGTCCAAATCCCATTAGTGGAAACCTAGTCATTGCTGAACTATGCAAGATTTTAAGAACTCATGTAGTAAAAATGTACAAATATGAGGTACGAAAGAGGAAAAAAGAACTAATTTTATGAGCTGTTTCTGCACTATTGCAGTTTATTTTTTTTTAAATGGCCATAATCTTTGCTGGTGCATGGTCAAATAATTGTTACCTAACATTCTGTCACTGGAAGGCACACACGGCATCCATATAGCATGGTGGTTATGCATCTTAGGTTGATAGTCAATATATATATTGACTATATATACGTGGGAAAAAAACAAACAAAAACCTTAGCACTCCATGATGGGCATATGAATGAAGGCAAGCTATATATATGGCCCCTTCTGGATTGCACTTTTTGGATGCTAATGTTTAGTTGTGTTCAACTGCTTAGAGGAATTGCTTAGGACTGACTATATCACGCCCTGAGAGATCAGGATGAGCTGTTTCTTTTTTCTCCTGTACCTATTGAATGATTCCATGTGCATAGTTCACTGAGACCTAAAGGAGTACTGAACCCTTGTGCTTCACAGTGCTTATCTAGGAAGAGGAGGAAGGACTTGCCTCGTTACCCCTTAAGGCTGTTCCAGTCCGTAGCATTTCCAGTGTTGTATCCAGACCTCAGGGTTGGG